ATTTAGTTGTCGTTTTAGTTGAAAAATTGTTTTTTATATGGGTAGAAAATGTTATTTTATATAATTAGAAAGATAAAAATCGTTTGTATATTTGTCGTATAACTTGGAAAATTGTTTATATAGTTGTCGTTTAAGTTGAAAAATTGTTATAGTATGTTATTGTTTTTTATCGTAAATATATAAATTATTTATTAAATATTTGTATTTGCATTGTTATTATTGTTTATGTTATTATTGCATTTAATAATCATATATTTTAAAATGAAATAGTTGTTTAGTTTTCTAATATGTTATTGTGTTTTGTGCAGCATGATTATAATAATTTCGATGTGAAAGCTATTGTAAACTTAAAGGGATCGGGGTGTAACATTGAGAAGTTTTGAAGTGTTTAGATGGTGTGAGACGTGATATATTTAGAGATACAGGTTTGGTTACTTGTGGACGTCCCTCGTTTACAAGGGGACGGATTGCTGTTCCACAAAATGTTCCTTCATCAGATACGGCCGGACGCTGTTTTATCTCCAGATGGAATAAAACGGTTATATTTTAGAGTAGGCGATACGAAAATGGTATATGGGCCGGAAGAGTTTTGTTTGATAACCGGGTTGAAATTTGCGGAGTATCCAAAAAACATCGGGAAAAAAGTGTCAGAAAAATAGTTAGTAGTAAAAAAAGATGTTTATTTGCGTGAGCGGCTATTTTCCGAACTATACAAATAGTTTCGGTGAAAATCGGTGACCTGAAAAGTTTTATTTTAAATCAACCATTCTTAGAAGTTGACAACGCCGATGCAGTTAGAGTATGTTTGATATACATTTTATGTGAAGGTTTTTTGGGAAAAGAAATAAATGATCGCGTGCCACAAGATTGGTTTTTTTTGGCTGAGAATTTGGATGTCTGGAACAGGTATTTTTTGTTTACTTTGAAAGTTTTATATTATTAATGTTAATTTATATTATAACTAAATTTTTTTTGTTTTGTTAGTTTCGCTTTGGGTAGCTATTTATGGGATTTTCGTATGATGACCTTGAGGATACATGGACAAGATAAATAAATATTTATCACTTCCTGAGCGTCGTCAAACTTTAAAATACACCGTCTCAGGATTTACGGCTCCAATTAGGTATAAAATTTACTTATATTTAAATGGTTTTATTGTTATGTTAGTTATTTAATTTTAACTTTTATTACTATAATTGTAAAAAATGTAGATATGGATATATGAGATGCTTCCGGTTGTTCGTGCCTGTGGATTTGTATTGAGAAAAAATAGAGACATGCCTCGGATGAAACGATGGAGTGAGACAAAAAATTGAAATGGGTTGATGTGAACAAGATTTTTTCAAAGATACAGGTTTATAAATTTTTTTTAATATTAATAAAATTCATTATTATACTTTTATATGCATTTTAATATGTTCAATTTTTTAGGAGGGACAACCACCAAGAAATAAAATGTCACCGAGTGATGATGAGATGAATCTTGTTTTATTATATTCATTTCAAGAGTATGTATATGGTGAACGGAAATCAGTTCCATCCCCAGTACGGGACCATTTTAGGAGACAAGACGAATCTTCGTCTAGTATGTCGTCTAGTGGTCGCTCTCATGGTAGAGGTGGGCGCAGTGGAAAACCCAACCTAGAGGAGGTGTTGAAACGGCTACATGCACTGGAGCAACATGTGTTTACGAACCGAGACCTACAGAGGTGTTTGTTGAAGAAGTGAATAATGAAGATCTATGGAATAACATCAGTTTTGAGGAGCCTGCAGTATTCCAAACAAAATTTGATGAACGGGTTAGTTACACGCTACATTATTTTTTTTAATTTATTAACATATATGAATATTTGTGTTCATATTTTATATTTGCAAATTTAGGTTGTAGAAGA